TGAATGCTCCAACTCAAACTGAAGCTGTTGCAAGAGAAACAGAGATGACTCAAAACAAGATTCTCTATTCTGCAAAGCTCGACAAGAACATGCGAAGATCAGCCTACTTTGAGACAAACAAGAGAACTGTGATGTCAAACATCATGCTGAAGTTTGTGACGAAGGCGATGGATATCAAGCTTTGAGGTGAAGTCGATTTCACGACTACTCTTGAAGAATCCAATCGAACTCTTGAAAAGTATTGAGCGATTCATGAAGAAGAGTGCTGATGCTGAGTATGACTTCTTGGATTTCTGGGAAGCCAACGAAAGTTCTTTGCTATGAAGCAAGGAACAACATAAAACTTGATGCATTTCAAGGAACGATTCTTGAGACAGGCTGAAGTCCTGCAAGATCTGTATGGCGTTGTCTGGTTCCGAAATTTTGCAGTCAAGACAAAAGCGTATGCTGCTATTGCAAGCACCGATACTACTGCTAAGGACAAGTTCAAGGATGATATCTTTGAAGCCGTTCTTGCAACAGGATTCCTGTGCAACTGTGATCGAACGAGAACAGCGCCTCTGATGCTGGATCTTCAGACGAACTACTGCAGGGAAGTGGATTATTATCCAAAGACGGTCAGCAAAGCACAAGAAGATATGTTGAAGATTCACATGGATGTGATTCAAAATCCGGGAGTGAACCTTTACCAAGGAAAAGACCACCCTAATAAAGGTAAAGGCAAAGGTAAACCGAAGGACAATAAGAAAAAGGCGGCATGTTATGTATGTGGCAAAGAGGATCATATGTCTCCGAAATGTCCAGACAGACTGCTACCAGAGAGTCAATGGAAACATCCGAAACACTATGTTGATTACGGGAAGAAGCTCAATCTTAATCAGATTGGAGCAACTGTCCCAACTACAGCTACAGTTCCTGGACCTTCTCCAGCGACAAGTGTAATCACGGGTGGAACATTGAGTGTTGCGGGAAGTGTTAACACACCTTTGCGACTTGCTGGTACTACAGGTAATCAAATGATACAAGTTCCTACAGGTAATCAAATGATGCAAGTTCCTTCGGGAATGCAGCTCATGCAGATTCCAACTCAAGGTGGCGGCA